TTATCTCTCATGAACAGAATAACGCCTGACTTAAGCTCATATAATGGTGATGTTTACAAAGGGAGTGGAAATCGAAGAAATTGTGATTTGTTTGTATTTGAGACCGTCCAACATGATTGGTTCATTTACAATTTATCTTGAATTAAGTCTTTATTGATATTAATCGATTGTAGATCTCCATTACTTGTCTTTGGTACGTTTGCTTGTACCTGTTACTACAACTGCTACTTTAATTTCCCAAACAGCTCTATTTGTTTTACACGAAAGCATTTTCAATGAAACCCACTTTTTTATTATGATTATGATTATTATTATGATTATCATTACTATTATATTTTTATAACTCTGTCGTTTGAAACTTTTACAGGCACATGTATGTTTACGTGAAGTATATTCCACTATCTTGCATGTGCATTGCATTAATTTATGCAAATAATCAACTACTCTTCTTAAATTCTTTAATTTTAGATTAGCTTTGCATAGCTTTACATAGTTTCCATGTGCTTAAGGAATCATATACACCACATGCTCTGAAGCACTGACTTGTAACCATTTTTTTTTCAAGGTGGCAAAATATATGTATATTGCTGAAACTCATTGAGAATTTCTTATTGACTACAGCTAGTGTAGCCATACCAGTGCTCCCCTCCCCTGTAATAAGTTGGGAAAAGGACATCTGCATGGTGCTATCATTGCTCATGTTTGGGGATATCCCATCCCTGATTTTTATTTGACTAGATGGGCACAGCAGTACACAGGCTAATTACAAGCTTTTGGTTACTCCTCATGACTTACTGTTAACTGGGAATTGACAGCTGACTTGATCTAATCAATTTTCTCCTGAACATTTTTTAACTTCATTTGTTCGACTTCAGAAAATACTTCTGATAATTCCCTCTGACATTTCTAATTTGGAAGATTAATCATTATGTTCTTTACACCTCCATAAGCACAGACAAGAGTTCTTTATTTATTACTCAGGCAGCTTCTGAATATAAGAAATCAAGTTTAGAAGATAGTTGATTCATTCAAGGCTGGTGCAATATGAGAAAAGACAATGCAGTGCTTTATTCACATGGATTAAATTATATTATAATAATTATTTTACCTTTCAGTAGTTTTGTTTCTTAAAAATTTGTTTTCTAGCAGTACCAAGATGGTAATGTTACTTTGTGAATCAGGGAGCTAAATAAAGCAGAAGTATTCTGTTAGCTCAGTACATTTTATGTTGCAGATGGCATTAAGTTAGTNATAAAATTTAAACTTTCGCGGCAATAAATTGCTACACCTCCCCCTTGCTTTCCTTCCCGGTCTCGTCTTACACAATTGTATCCCGGTATGTGAATTTCCTCATCCTAAATACTGTTTGAGAGCCAGGTCCCCGAGAATGTCCAGATATCGGAGCCGTTGTTGCTACTCATAACCAGATTTAGTTGGTCGATTTGCCGGTTAAACTTCTAACATTGAGGAGAGCTATAGACAGGCCATTGGCTTTGATACTGAAGGATGGAACATCAAAGTCCACCTAATTTAGAGGACCAGGCTGAGGACAAACGTCGCCAGACAGAATGGTGGCAGCTGAAGCATAGAAAGTCAGCTGCGTTATCTTCAAAAATTTAGCTAACTTCGCCATTTTGCCGGGCGATGTAGCGACTCCTCTGTTGTCGTAAATTTCCCGCGATTTCAGTCCTGCAGGTCTCTTTTGAAACAAAATACACATCACTGTCATTTAGTGAAGTGTTCGTCTGTAAATGTGGGGACTTGTAGTTTGAAAAAGACACATAGATACAGAGAAATATACAAACATTTGCAGAGAGCCTAAATTTGCGACCGACCGCCATACTTGCATAATACAAATATACGCGAAACAAAGAAACAGCGGCTCGAAAAATATCCTTAACTTGCCACCTCCAATTCGGTGAATAGTTGTCAATTAATAGTTGTCCAACAACGAAACAAATAACTGGAAAGCGTCGCAGTAACTTGTGTTGAACTTGTTGAACTTATATGCCACAAGGCTACTAAATTTTTGACTGAAATTGTTACTTTTTTTCTTAGGGCACAAAGATGGTGTCTGGGAAATCGACGTCGTTAATTTAGCAGTGGCCAAGAAGAACGTTGAAAGACTGTTAATTCACATATTTATTTGAGCGATAATCAAGAAACTCTTTCATGGATCTACACAGTATACCTCTCAACTGAAGCCTTCGATCCATTGTCAGATTTTAAACAAAAAAGTTTTGATTTTATAAATAAATCAATATCATTACTTCACGATCTCTGAGTCGTCTTTTCAGATGTAGCTCCCTCGTTCATTTGCGTAGAACTTCTTTAACTTGATCTTTCTGGCTTGTATGGCTGACGCCCAATCTAGGACTACTTAAAAGCATTCTCGAAAGAATTATTCCTTTCGTATTGTGTTTCTGACTTTTTCGTGTTTGTGTTTGTGTTTGAGGAGATGCGAAGAGAGGCCCTGTTGTGGAGGGAATTTTACATACCCAATTGTTTCTATTATTCTATTTGCTAAATGATTACTTTTAGTAAAACGGACCTAGTGTACCTTTAGAGAAATTCAGGTAAACGTTTCCCCTGTTTCACCCCACAGCAAAAATTATCGAAACTATACCAAGTAAATAATCAATTAGTGCGAATCCATCAGTTTTGAAGCAAGGTTTAAGTCCGATGCTTTCTCTAAAGTCGACTTTTCAATTTGTGTTAGTGGTGATGTCGCTGGGATGCCCGCTAAAAGTTCAGTCATTGCGTGGTTCAAAACGTGAAGTGTCGTTGCAATTCTTCAGCTCCAGGAGTTTTGACTTCGGAGGAACCTTTCCTTCTCTAATAGCATCGTTGACTTCAGCTACAAATTGGTCATTGTGCTCTCTTAGAAGATGCTACTCTTCTTGTTTCTCATGTACAGAAGTTGAGTAAATTTTCATAATGGTGGTAAGTGTCACAGGCATCCTAAATGTTCGTCGCCATTCCCAGCTAAGATGACAGGTCCAATAAGGCGTTGGTTGGCGCGTTCTAATCACTGTGCTCTTTGATTCTTCAATCGACTTCAAATTCACCTGGATGGTAAATTAAAGGAAATGACTTTCATTTTCCTCTTTAAAGCTCAGTGGATTAGATTCTTAATAAAAATTTTGTGCGAAAATTTCAAAGTTTTTACCTGAGGCACATATTACAAACATGACGTATAAGAAACTGTAGAAACTGTTGAGACTTTCCATAAATACCAGGCGATATCTTTTGGCATTTCCCAAGTCATCCGATGTACTTCTTTACAAAGAAGTGGCATGCGCTACACAAGTAGTTGGTTTTAATTAAATTGCCGACACTTTTAGCGATGGAATCACTTCCGGTCCCAACATCATCTTAGCCCTCTACCAACTAACGTGGTTTGTCTTTACGGTTAGTTTTCTAGTGGCGTTGCCCGTTCTTTTACCTTCTTTTTGTTTTAAAAACTCAAGTCTTTTTCGCTTCCACGATATAGCTTTATTCAAATTTGACTGTTTCTCCTAACCTCGGAAAAATCAATTCAGCTTTGAACGAAATATTCTCACTTGGAACGTTCAGGCATCTTGGCATCAAAGAGTAACAGTGTAAAATCTGGCATGAACTTTAGGATGTCGGAGACCGCGGAACATTGGAACAAACAGGCTGTGTATTTCGCAAGAGAATTTATGTAAAAATAAACCACAGCTGTTTGTTCGGCAGGTTGAAAATCTGTCAGGAATATCGTTCAGACGTCTGAAAAACCTAGAATAGGTAAGGGAAAATGCAAAGAACAAAATCTTTATCAGATACATATCTGGTGACAACTGGCACGCAAATCATTCTAAATACTAAAAAAATACTTAAAGGACACAACTCTCAATACCGACCACCTGACCGGAATATGGCAATAAAGTTGAAAAAAATTAGTCATGTATATGGGCTGGAACAACAGGTAACACTTCGCCAAAGAAAATAAAAGGTGCGAAAAAAAAAAAAAAAAACCGATTGCTTCTCTCTTCATTAGGACCGTTGGACCGCTAAAAGATTCTTACAACCTAAACGGCCGAGTGTACATCGCAAAAACAAAAAGATAACAGATAAAGAAATTAATGTATAAAAAGTGAAAAATAAGCATATATAAAAATATATGGTCACCATTATTATTTTAGGATAGTTGGTACCGAAGAGTTTATCTTTTTGTCGAGGCTAGAGGGTCGAGGGTTTCATGTCGAGGGCGAGGGTACAATGTCGAGGAAAGAGGATACCTTTATTCCCCATTTTTTTAAATTAATAGACAAAAATTAGACCAAATTCAACTAAAATAATTAAAGGCTAAGAGACAATTTTTTAAGATACGGATTGCACGTGGACATTAGATCTTTTTATACGTGGACATCACCCCAAAAAATAGCAAGTGGGGAAGGGGTGAAATAGTAAATAGTACGTGGACATCCCACTTCGTTTTTAAAACCTAATTAGTTTTCAAACTGAATTAAATTAAGAACCCACAGAAAGCTCATATTCGATTATAAATCTGGTTAGAATTCCCGTGTTACTGTAACATCACGAAGCGAAGAAATGTGACAAAAAAGCGAGGAAAAAGAGCGATGTCCTTGCAAACTGAGTTTCACAACATGGGATGTAATCCAGCTGTCAAGGAAACTCTCCTGACATGTCCAAGCTCCAGACAATAAAACTTCTCGGTCAGAATCGGTCTCATCTACTCACTTCTACGTTTTGCCGACGGATAATATCGGCAAGTAACAGCAGCCACCGTAGTTCCACTTCATAGGTTTCAAGTCGTAGGTTTTTACGCAAGAAGTGATGGGCAGCGGCCCGGGCAAATTGGAAAAGAAGTAGGGGAGTCGCGAGGAATATATACCTGGTCGCGATTTCCGGTGTCGGTGATTAATTATATATAACTCCTTTGTTTGCGAAAAAGACTCGATATTTGCGCTTTCCCATATTGCAAGTACAGCAGTGTTTTTGCTCGATTCGAGAATAAGGATTCCTCTTCTTCGGACTTGTTTTCATGCAAAAGCCTCGCGCCGCCATATTTGTTTTGAATTTTCGCTCTAAAATGTTTCATTAGAGCTTTGACTTGTTCTATTCTCTAACCTTTGAATCACCTCATTCTCTAATATCATTGCTAGGCACAAGTCCTTCAATCAGTCGCAGTTTTGCCTCGACGGAATACTTCGCAATAATATCAAGCTGGAAGAACTGTAAGTAAACCTGATTGTACAATTAGAAAAAAACAAAACAAAGTTACAGGTCCAAGATAAATATTTAGGGATGGTGGTCCTTAACTACTTGAAAAGATTGCTTGTTTCTGCATTGACTTGAGCTCTGACTGAAGCTCTCAGAAGAAATAATTGAATTAAGTGTTACTCAGAGTAAGATCGGTTGTCCAAACTAGTCTCCCGCATATTCTCTCTCTGTTTGTAGCAGAATTTTCCCCGCGGCTTCTATGGGTTAGAAGCCCGGGTTAACATACTGATGGACTTTTGGAGATGCCACTCAGTCTACATCGAATCCAGAAGAACAATGTAGAAAAGTGTTAAGTAATTTATATAATTTTTTTTTCCCTTAATTTCGTGAGTGCCTCGTTAGCGCAGTAGGCAGCGCGTCAGTCTCATAATCTGATGTAAGAAATCTGAAGGTCGTGAGTTCGATCCTCACACGGGGCATATAATTTTCCTTTTTTTTTTTTTTTTTTTTTCCTTTTTACCTTCACTCACTCATGATATCAACATAAACGGTCCGTTCCAAACCTTAATCATACACGTAGGGAACTTTTCATTGTGATAGAAGTAAAGCAATTGGGAATTCCTGCGAACAAGTTCAGGACTCAAGATCGATCGCAACAAACCGACAAACAAAGCGAGATAAAGGAAAATGATGTTAAAGGATTATCATTGGGCGAGGTCATTTAACAGCAACAGATTAAAAGGTATTACCACAAAAATTAGCGTGTAATTATTTCTGCCCATCTGGACTTCACTAACTTATTGCATCTGGTTTCCACTCCCCTGCCAATTAGAACAAACGGGAAGCAGAAAGTCTGGCGACGACATCTAATACTTGGTAGCGCGACGCTGTAAATACGGAATACGGGATGATGCAGAGTTATTTTAGTTCGATCCTGGTTAATGTAACTTAATTAGCTGTGTGGTGTGGGTGCTGTGTTCTTGCATACTGATTTTCTTTTAGAGCTGTTCCGCGAGATACCTCGGAATAGTTTACAGACCCAACTCAAAAATAGTCAAATAGAGTGATGGGAGTCTTCTTTCTTTCAAATTAGCGGACATATTTTTCGGAAAGCGGATCGGGGCCATAAAGAGACACAAACTGAGTTAAGGTGAAGCTGAGTGTATAATTCCCTTGGCTGAATCCAAACCGCTTTGTAACATTTGGTTGGCTTTGTAAATAAATAAAATAATAAACTTAGGTTTGTAAATAAATAAATAATATGTTTAGTAACCACTTTTAGACTCAAAAACTGTATTTATCCCATTCTGTCAAGCTCTCGCTGAACAGGCCACGTACTAATCAGAAATCTACATCCTGCACTTTAAGCGTTGAAAGAGACCTTTTCCCTGATAAATATGATGCAACTGTTCTTGATACAGCCGACTGAAATCTACGATTGGAGGTGGTGCTTGAAGCACTGTTGCACCGGCTTGATAGCGCTGACCTTGACGGAGAATAACGACCTCCTTCGGATCGAGACTCTTCATTGGCCTCCATGGCTACTACAGAGATCTTTGGTACCATCGGCTCTTCGGGTTTCTTCGCAGTCTTCTCTGGGCCGGCACCGAAACGAAACGAAGAGTCGGGCGACATTTGTTCCGCATAAATGGCCATTATTTTATTAAGAAAAGACACAGATGGAGAATTGTAGACGCTGAAGTGCGAATACCAGCTGTATTCGTCTTCCATAGCGGCATTCTCCGAAGTTTTTGAATAGAGATACGAACGATCAGGTTTGCGTGTTATGGGCGTTTCTTTTGATTTCCGGCCCACAGCCGTATTTACATGTAATTTTGTTTTGACATTTTGGCTTCGCGGAATTGTGTCCGCACCACAGGACATAGCATTTGACAATGTATTCATCACCCCCGGCGTTTGTGCCTTAGAATTTGCGACTACTTGTCTTTCATCATGATCAAAAGATTGTTTGATGTCAAATGCGCAGCTGAGTTCGCTGATGCTGTCCGGGTTGACGTGTTCTGTTGCCCCTTCTAACTTTGCTGTGACCAACTCTAACTCTTTCTCAACTTCCTCCTTGCGTGATATTGGATGTTTCATAATTCTCTCATGCCACGCATATTTACGCCGGCGGGCAAACTGAGACTTTTCCTTGTATTTGGTGTCTTCAGTTACTAAACTTGCGCTTGAAATTTTTCTTGGTGAACTTGTTTTTCTTCTCAAGATCCTTTCGTGGTTTGAAGCTGATTTCTCGCTGGACAAAGTAGGGGTCTTCTTGGCAGGAATGGCTTTCTTTTGAATATTTCGGGGAATAGATTGTTTCCTCTCAGCAGAGTTGCTAATCGTAGCATATTTACTCTCCTCGACACCTCGAACCCTGCCATTCCAAGTTGCCTCTTCTTTTAAACTCTCAAAATCCAAGAAAGGATTCACCTGAATATTGGTTGACGCATTCCCTTCAGTCAACAAGATAGCCGCACAGTCTTCATTTCCCAGTCGTTTAGCCTCCAAGTAAGGTGTCCTGTCTTCGAGATTTCTAACATCTATGTCAACTTGAAACTTATTAAGTTCGCTGACTATAAACTTCACTAAAGTGGCGTTACCTGTGCGAACAGAGTGCATGAGTGGAGTATTTCCGTCAAAATCTCGTAAGTTCAAATCAACGTCCTGCTTTGCGGCATTAACCAGTAGCCTAACAATATCTTCTTTGTCGTCGATGCAAGCCCTAGACAGCACATGCCGGCCCTTTTTATCAACGATGTTTACCTTCGCACCGTGCTGCAACAAAAGTTTGAGTAAATTGCTTCGTGTGCGACATTTTCCGTCAGGTAACTGTGCGGCGTGCATAAGAGGAGTCAAACTCTGATCGTCCACAAAATTCACGTCAACTCCGCTCTCAATAAGATGTCTAGTTTGGTACATTCTCCCGTCGCAAATCGCTTCTTTGAGTCTGGTTGTAGTTGGATTGTAAGACGTTGCTTTCATGTTGTTTAAAAGAAATTTCTTGCGAGTTTTGCTCTCTTGTTGGTTTAATATCGCACTCTTCTTCGATACAGTTGCTACAAATAGCGTCATAGAAAGCAGTATGCTTTGTTGTCTAACTTGTCGCGCCTATTTAATCTTTGTATTTTTTATCCGACAGTTGCCAAGGAAATAGTGGACCGCACAAGGGGCATTCCGATACGCAACGATGAATCCTGTCAAACAAAACTAAAGACAATTAGGTTTACATGAATTTAAATGAGTTAAATGCTGGGTGGCTTAATTGAACTTTTGTAAGCCAAAACAACAGCTCACGGACATCGGGTAATAAACATCGTATGATGTTAAATTTCATATTTGGGTTAATTTTCATCCTTATCAACATCTCTTTCGCTATTGGGTAAAGAGAAGACTGTAAAAAGACTGTAGGAGTTGCGTAACAGCAAATTATCTTCGTGACAGAATGAACGCAAAGAGTTACGTAAATGTTAATTGAGTTAACGAATCGTGAAACTGTAACGGAGCGAAACCCCCACTGAACCCGAGTTCATCCAGTTACTTAGTAGTCCCAGTCTAATTTTTTTAACCACTAAATGGGGCCTTAGCTAAAAGACGCTGAAATCAGCTTGACAACTGTGAACTATGAATCTATTCGTAGAGATCGCTCTACTAACGGTAGGTCTGGAGGGGGTGTTTGTTTTTTTATTCGTTCCGAAATCAATTATTCTGTTCGCTCTGATCTAATATGTGAACAAATAGAAAGTCTGACTGTCGAAATCAAGAAGCCCAGATCAAGGCCTTTTGCCGTTATGACCTGGTATAGACCCCCTGATTCTTCAATTGACCTTTTTAGACCATTTGAAGAACTTATTGGAAAACTAGACTCAGAAAATATCGAATATTACGTCTTAGGAGATCTGAATTGTAATATGGCCGCACCTAAGTTTGACAAAAGTACAAATATCTTATCTAATATTGCTGATGTTTACGGCCTTGACCAGTTAATAACTGAACATACTAGAATTACCGACAAATCACGTACTTTAATTGATCTAATTTTTACAAATACTCCAGATAGGGTCGTCTGCTCAGGGGTCTCACATATAGGCATCAGCGATCACAGTTTAGTTTACGTTTTTCGTAAAGTTTCTATTGAATCGACAACGAATAAGCATACTACCCTGAGATATAGGAAATTTAAGAATTTTAACTCTGATCACTTTCGTAACGATATAGGTCAACAGGATTGGAGTAGCATCGAAAGCTATTCTGATCCTAATTTAATGTGGGCTGCATGGAAACAACTATTCCTGGAATGTGTAAACAAGCATGCCCCACTTCATGTAAAACGGGCGCGCG